TCATTCTTGTAAATTGTTATTATTAACTGGATTGTTTGATCTTGTATTATTCGTTTTTTTTGAAAAAAATGCAGATTAATAGGGTTGAAGTGAAACCTCTTGATAAAAATTTAAAAAATATTTAATATGAATCAGCCAAGTAACAAAGCTGAAGTACAATCTTTTTTGGGCATGGTGAATTATTATCATCGTTTTGTGGAGAATTTTTCAAAAGTGGCATCTCAATTGTACGATTTATTTAAAAAAGGGGTTCATTTTGAGTGGAAATTTGAACAAAATGCTTTTTAAATTTTGAAAAAAAAAATTGGTGAAGAACCTATTTTAGTATGTTTTAATAATGATTTAAAAATAATTTTAGACGTGGATGCATCCAATAAGTGTGTTGGAGGTGCATTGTTACATATAATTGATGGGCTAGAAAGACCAATTATTTTTTTTTCAAGATATTTTCATGAAGTTGAAACTAGGTATTCTGTGATTGAACAAGAAGCCTTAGCGGTTATTTTTGGGTTAACCAAGTGTCGGGAGTATTTGATCGGTAAAAGATTTATTATTTACACAGATCATAAGCCATTAATTTATTTATTTAAGAAGGATAATAAAGAGTTAATGTTATCTCGCCGGTTGCAACGTTGGTTGTTACTGGTGGGGAGTTTCAATGTAGAAATTAGATATCGCCGTGGCAAAGAAAATTGTTTGCCTGATATTTTATCTAGGTTGGAATCCAGTGAGGATGATCTTGATGTTAACAAAAATATAATAGGGAATAGAGAAAAGGCATTGATTTTTTCTTTATCACATATGTTGAAGGGTGGTCCTACGAATTGGGAGGATCTTAAAAGCAATACCTTAAAGGATAAGGAATTATGGAGTAAAATTATTTTTGACGGGAAAAAATAATGGTAAAGTTTATAAAAAAATTGAAAAGGAATTGTCTGTGGTGGATGATTGTTTGATGCGGGGTAATAGAGCCGTAATTCCGTGGAAATTATGGTGTAAAATTATACGTTTATTGCATGCAGGACATAGGGTCGAGATAAAATGAAATCTTGGGCTCGTGAGTATGTATGGTGGCCTGGTATGGGTAATGATATTTAAAAAATTACCAGGAGTTGTATTACATGTAATTCTTGTGCCGCTATGCCCCGGAAGGAGATAGACAGTTATTGGCCGAAATCTGAAAAGCCTTGGGAACGTATCCAGGTTGATTTCTTTGACTTAAACCAAAATTTTTTAGTTGTTGATGCATATTCTAAGTGGATTGAGTATAAAGAAGTTCATGGATTAACCACTAGGATTGTTATCAAATTATTGCAAAGGTTGTGGGCCAGATTTGGGATTCCCAAGACAATTGTGTCTGATGGAGGTCCGGCCTTTATAAATAAAAATTCGTTGGAAATTAAACATGTATTAGGTCCACCATATCATCCCAGTTCCAATGGACAGGCGGAGAGGAGGGTAGCTATTTTGAAAAATTGGATTAAAAAGACCAAACAAGAGAATAATGATGTTTGGATTGCCCATTTATATAATAATAATTCCAGAAACCGGGAGGGAATTACGCCGGTGGAGTTATTTTTGGGAAGAAGGACTAGAGTGCCGTTGGATTTCTTAAGATCCAAAGACAGGGCTAGTTTACCTTCAGTTGATAAAATTGGAATAAAATATCCTGTTGGGAGAATTATATGGGCCCGTTTGTTTGATAACAAAGGGTATAAATAAGAAAAAGGTCGTATAGTAGAAAACCTTGGTTCCAAATTAAATGAGATTTTGCTAATAAATGGAATTACGGTGATCAGACATAATGATCACGTAAGGTTAGAAAGTAAGAAGGGGTAGATAATATGGAAGTATGCTTAAATATTAGTCTTCTCTTATTTTTTCAGAATCTTAGATCGATAATGTACCTTATAAAGGGATTATTGTGATAAATATATAGCATATGTTAAACATGAGTAATGAAAATATTGATCCTTTTGGGGTACTCCGATAGCGATACTCGCTTAGTATAATGGTTAAATAAAGATACTGTTTATAAAGATAGAGATATGCTCATTTATGATTAATGCTAACGGGATATATTTTAATGTAATGGAATATTATCATTAAAGGGTGCCTAATTGAAACATTGAAAAGTCTGGAAAATAAAGGAAGTTCTATATTTCAGAGGGAGAACTCAACATCCTATAATTATAGGGGATTAGAATTGAGTCTCGAGGTTATTAAATTGGAAAAACGATTTTTTTTTGTGTTCCTCCTTTGTGGGAGGAGGTGCCTTTGGTTATTTAAGTAATTATATAAATAGATAAAATTAGTGGAGTACAAAACAAGATTACGTAAATTAATAAATTAATTGAGTACCGAACAACTGGGGATGTTTAGGTAATTTATGCTTTCGGGAAAGATGGTAATAAAGGCCGTCGAAGGAAAGTATTTAATTAGTTTATTGATTGTTTTATATACTCGAGTATCCTCATTGTAGAGCGATAGGAGTATAATGATAAATTAAATGGTATAACGAAGGAGTCATTTATGATTATGTTATACACCGGGCAGGTTTTTTTTAAGGAAAGAAAAGAAAAAGTAAAAAAAAATTTGTGTGATGAATGGTCACTGGGAGAAGAAAAAGAAAGTTATATTTTTGTTTATGATTATGGACGGTTCACTTTGATGTTGATATGATTGTAAGTTTAGGAAAATAATAATAAAATAATAAATAGATACATGGTTATATTTTGTTGTTGTAAAAGAAGGAGTTAAGTTGGGGATGGTAAGTGTTTATTATTTAAGGGAAGGGAGAATGTTTGTGTTGTTATGATCACGTGGGTCTGAAGGAGTTAAGTTGGGGATGGTAAGTGTATATTATTTAAGGGAAGGGATAATGTTTGTGTTGTTATGATCACGTGGGTCTATGGATTTTTTATCAATAAAGATTTGTCTTGATTTATTGTAGAAAATCGTGAGTTTATTATGGGAGAAAGGAAAAAATAAAATAAATAAATAGATATTTGGTTAAAAAAAATTTTTTAAATTGTGAAACAAAGAAAAGAAAAATAGATATAAATTTGTTTAAAATTTTGTTTTTGTAAAAGAAAAAGTTTTTTTAAAATATGCACTCGCAGTCAAAGTTAATTCATTTGCAAGAGCATTACTTGCAGATTACCCTAATTCCAAAAGTCATGGACTTCAACAACAGTGGGGACGTTCACCAAATGGAGGCTCCTTCGACGTCCGGCGGTTCTCTTATTAGAAAGAAAAAATGTTTTAACTGTCAGTCGGAGACCCATTTAAGAAATCAATGTACGGCTTTGATCAAAAAGAACTTTGGACCGTTGATGGAACAAGATTATAATACCCGCATTACCCAGAAGGAATGACAAAAAAGACTGGCTAGGGAATTTGTGAATAATACGTTAGGAGGGCCCGAAAAGGCGAATCTGCAACCGGTGCCGCTGACACAAAGGTCGTCGGACAAGGATGCAAACATCGACAGGACGGACGCCATCAATATCAGAAAGGTCATGGAACAGCATGTTGAATAATATGTTTCTTTTTGGATTTGTTTAAAAAAAATTTTTTTATATTAATCTATATTTTGTTTTTTGTGGGAATGTCACTGGCCCATAAAGGGGTGACATGTCCTAGTATGTTATGCATTAAAAGCATGTATTCACGTTAAATTTTGTTAAACGTCAATCAGATGTATTTGGTGGAAAATTATTATTATTATCTGAAAAGGAAAAAATGATGATTATATAATATATATTTTTCGGTATATTTTTTATTATTAAAGTTTTAAAATTCTTAAAAAAAATTCTTTTTGAAATTAATAAATTACGATATTTTTATGATATTATAATTAGTAGATTTTCAATTTTTGATGATTTTTATCAATTAATAAAGTGAACAAAAATTTGATTTGAAGTGTATATTCTTTCTACAATCTATATTACGATACGTGTAAACTTACCAAATGTAAAATGTGCCCAAAAAGTATTATATCAGTTTCAAAATCTTCAAGTTCCAATTTAAACCGACATTTGATTGTAATGTTAATTATTTTATTTTATATAATATAACAATTAAAATCATTAAATTTGAAGAAAAAATGCATTTGAGGTTATTGGACCCCACAATAACGATAGTTATTTTAAAATTAAAAATAAATTAGTGGCCTAAATTATGGTCAACTATTGATAGACGCATTATTCAATGGGATTAATAAAAAGTATTGAACCTATCATTATCAAACAAATTAATTACATATATTTTATTTTTTTTAAAGATTTGAAAATATATTGTTTTTTCTGCAATTATATAATCCAATATTTAAGTTTCAATGGCCATGGATAAAACTTCCACAGAACGAACCTATAATAAATAAACTTACAGCGTTATTGAAAAAATGCAATGAAAACCCTAGAAAAGATAATGCAAAAACTGTTAATTTCGAGATATCCCTTTTTTGACGAGTTTGTAAAAGATGGATTGGAGGAGGATATATCTCAATTTTTTGAAGCAAAGGACAAAACAATAAATGTTTTTAATTAATTCCTAATGTTAAAAGAACTCTTTATTAAGTAAAATACCGCAATCCCCTCATCTGCCCCTGTAGAGCGCGTTTTTAGTATAGCTAATGCCGTATTGTCAAGTGTTCCTGTCTATCAGATAAAAATTTTGTAAACAATTATTAAAATTTTTAATAAGAAAAATTTTTTATAAATAAAAATATCTTTTTATTCGATATTATATTATATTTTATTTATAATTATATTATCAAAATAAAACTATATTATTTTTTAACATGGCTAATATATTGTATTAAAAAATATAAGACACTAATTAATATTAAATGAAATTTTAAAAAAAATTTCATAAAATTTTGAACGAACGTGAACGCGTTCCTTTTTTTTTGAAAATTGAATATGAACGCGTTCGATTTTTTTAGAAATGTTTACAGCACTATGTATTATTATTGTTAATATACTAATTATCGCATATAATGATTTCACAGTTTTTATTAAAATATATTATTCTTGAACGCCAATACCAATTATTTTTTCTCATAACATAAATATTTAATTTTTTTTTACCTATTAAAAATATTTTCACATTTTGCATTATGATTGATGTTTAGATTTCAAAATAAATTTAATCGAAAAAATCCTCTATATCAATATTGGGATTCAAAAGTTCTTGTCCAAAAGGAGCGATGTCGGTTCCATTCAATATCAAATTTTCGATAGTTTCTTCGAGCCCTGTCTCTCCAATCAAAATAGCTCCCCTGATATAAAGCGGTCCATTTAAATTAATGGACCCAATGGCTTGGCTTATATCATCGGTCTTAGAATCAATCGCTTCTAAAATGGCAGTTTCATCTTCGCAGAATTTTAGTCGAGACTCCCTGCTGCGCGATAAAACTAATTCGATGTACTGATCGGACTCGATTCTAAACATAAATTCGATGCCCGTTTGATTGGCCTGTTGTACTTTAGATTTATGAGATTTAAAATCGTGATATTGGTCAGAGAGTATTGGGTTAAAATGGCCTAGCAGAATTACCTTTTGATCAAAAAAACGGGTTGTGTGGGTAAAAAGTTCGAAATAAAAGTCGTCCTTAAAATCGGTGTCGATATGATCTATCAAAAAATTATTTGTCTGATTTGGTTCCAACTTATTCGAAGGATCTAAAAAAAAATTTAAATGTATATAAATATAAATATATTGGACTCCAAAATAATTAAATAATTTATCAAATATTTCGATAAATCAAAAAAAAATTAAAATAGGCTCAAACCTACAAATATTATTCTCCGTTGGGCGTTAATTTTTATGTAATTTTAATAAACGTTGAATAATATTTTGTTTGTTTTTTTCAAAATTTATTTTGTATAATTATTATTTGAGTAACTAAAGTTAGAGTATAAGTAGTGTTCTCAACCATAAAATTTATTTTTCGCGGTGAAGTAAACTAACTATGGTGTATTTTTCACTGCGAATTCGCATTAACTATGAATGTAGTGTTGATTAGACAGTAGATAATCTTTAAAATAATTTTAATTATATGGTTGAATATCATTTTCTAGAATAAAAATGATATCATTTAAAAACACTACCATAGTAAATAATTAGTCAAGGTTTAAAAATATAAATTTAGCGCAAAATATGGTGTTTTTTTATTATTAAATAAAAATAAATATGATATAAAAAAAGACAAATATATTTCAAATTATCAAACAAAGCGTCATCGATGAAATAAACACCGTCCGACGGGGAGAATCAAAATAAATTTCCTAGTATGTTTTATTTATTTTATATATTTGTGTTTCAAAAATATAAAAAACTTGTCATATTTTGAGCAGCTAAATAGCCCATGTGATACGCTTGATCCCATAATCTCATTTGAAACCAATTGGGAGAATAATTACTAGGATCAATAGAACAAACATCTCCAGCAGCGTAAACGTCAGCCAAATTGGTCATCATATGTTTATCTATGAGTATACCATTTAGATCCTTCGGGTTCAATTTTAGCTAATTTTGTTGTAATATTATGTATTTAAACTATAAAAGACTTTATAAATAGATAAATTTGAGTATCATATTTTTTATCAATTTGATAAAACATCCGCTAGTTTTATATTTTAGCTGGTAAGTTATATAAAAAAAATTTGGAATTAAGATAGTACATATTATTTGATTCTCAAATCTTAATTAATACCATTTGAATTGGATATAATAATAAAATAAGTTATATATATTTAGTAGTTTGGGCGAGTAATCTGCATCAAGCCTAATTTTTCAAACCTGAACCGGTTCGAAATTTTTTTTAAAAAGTTTTGCCGGTCTTGCCCGATTACGAATTTATTTAAATATAGAAATTTATTATTTTTTTAAATTATAATTTAAATTTTTTTAAAAATTATTACAACCAAAATAAAAGATATATATCATATGGCGTCTAGCTTCTACAAATAAAATTAAATAATTATATTTTACATAAAAAATTTTGGCCCCTTTTTTGATATAATATGATTCAACATAAAATTGATAAATTTAAATGTTTTAGAAAAATGCCAAGGCATGGCCCGACCTAATTTTTCCAAAAATAGGCCGGACCTAACCCGAACCCCATTTGTTTGTGCGGGGTAGAATTAGGGCCCGGGTCTACTTTCAGATCTCTAGTTTGGGCACGTTACTTAAGAAAATTTAGTAACACATGTAAAGTTAGAAAATGCTATTCATTACATAATTAAAGGTAAGAATAAATGAAAAAATGCGATAAAGAATTGTATTGTATTGATCCATTTTTTTGTAGTCTAAAATTTAAAAAAAACAGTAAAATATATAAACGGAAATTAGTTTATTAAAAATTTATTGTATAATTTATAAAACACAATCAAAGATTACTATTTTAATTTTAAGCATTTTATAAAAGGCCTAATTTTTCAATTAACGCATCATTTTCAATTATATTTTGACCTCAATTTATAGTTTTAAATTCACCTACTTCCACAATATAGTCGTCTTTCCCTGCTAAAATAATGACTTTTTCAAGGGCTACCATGATTTAAAAAAAATAGAAAACGAAATCAGTATATCTCACAACGATGAAATTTGAAAATGATAAAAATCCTGCTCCCTTTTTCTATTGGATTTTCTATTTTTCATTAATCAATAAACCAGTCAATTCAATTTTAAGCGTTTAATATATTTTTATTAAAAAAATTATTTTATTTTAAAAAAATGACAATGGTTACGTTACCCAGAAAAATATAACGGTTAAAGAAGCTCTTCGTTACATTTTCAAAGTGGGAGAAATATAAGAGCGTTACTTTATGTAACGTAAAGCAATTTGTAACCTTTTATCCCACCATTTTTTAAAAAAAATATAATCTTCGGCTACATCTTAGCAAGCAATTAACAAAAATATGCGAATACATAAATTTTGTAAAAATAATGTTTGTTTTATTGATGCGCGTAAAATGCTCGAATATTTACTAAAACACTCATGTCTGTTTATATTATTTACAGAAATTTGAGAAAATAAAATGCCCGAATATGCGCATCTTTAATTGCCAGGGAAGATATTAGGTTAATAATTGTTTTCAAAAATTTATTTTATTTATATATGTTATCGTCTTTTTCCAACTATAAATCATTTTTTAAGCGCGTTTTTAAAATTTAAAAACCTGATATTACCGGAAATGTATGCCGTCAGGTTTGGAATACCTACCCTATCAATTTCAGACAATTTTTTCATTAACTTTTAAACTTATTATAATTTATATTAAATTTTCCATATATTTTTTATGTAAATTATAAATAACTCAAAGGCTAACTACAAAATTGTTTTCATAAGATAGGTATTCCAAATATGATAGAATATATTTCCGGTAAAATCAGATTTTTAAATTTTAAAAAACACGCTCAAAAAAAAATTTTAAATTGTAAAAATAACACATTGCCGGAAAAAAATTGAAGCTAACATATACAGTTTTAGTTTAATAAAGACACCTTCTTAATATTATTTTATGCTACATTTTCAAGTTGTCCGATAATAAATATGAATGAATTAATTAACCTCCTATAATTAAAAATTTGGTGGGATTTGAATGTTTTGAAAATATGGTTATGAATAACATTATTTGTTTCGTATCCTTGAATAATGTAGGCCTAGTATAAAAAGTCTATCCTCAGAGAGGTTGGCATCAGACAAGACATCCATTCTTAAAACTCAAAGAAATGGCTAAACTAATGCAAATTTTTAGTGATAATGTTGTATTATTTAATCTAAAATTTTAATATAAATGGAATTTAATATGGACAGGTATCATTTTTTTTAAAAAAAACATTAATTAAACTGAATGAGTAAAATAATTTTTTATAATAATAAAAAAAATATAATAATTATTTCAAAATGTATTACAAACGTGATATTTTGGATTTTGAAAATATATTATTAATTACATTTGTGGGTTCAGTCTTAAATGTATTCGAATTTGGGATGACACCAGTGGCACTGATTATCAAATCACAAGCATACAATTGACCATTGGTTAGATGAACATTTAGTGGGAATCCCTCTTTTATTTTGTGAAAAAATAAATTATAATAAGAATTAGCTAGATCATTAAAAAAATCCTTACATAAAATTAGATTGGTAAAGGCAAAAAGTATTTTAAAAAAATCAAACTTCCTGTAATTTATGATGCTCCAATTATGATTTCTACTTAATATATTCACTAATTCATTTTTCTATAACACTTTTAATATATTATCATTCCAAGGTGTTGCATTAGATCCCCTGATAAATATTTATTAGAGGTTAGCATGCACCAGCCCAGGCCATTAAAATTGTTGAATTTTTTTCATGGTCCATAAGATAATTTTATAGAATTTTGTCTTGCACCATGTAATAATTTTTTAACCCTTTCGCGCCCATGGATAACTTTAATCATAATTTTTCAATAGTAATTTATATGCATTAAAAATGGTCACTGATAACTTTTGAAATCATATTTTTAATTTTTAATATTTGCTCTTTCATATTTTATCACTAACTCTTTTGTTTCATATGTTATATCCAGAGTTGGGCAGTACCGCGAATACTTGTATCTAAGATACAAGATTTTTTTGTATCTTGTACTCAGTATCTTATTGACATTTTTAATAAGATACTAGTATCTGTATCTAAGATCTTTTATTTTGAAAAGAATCTTGTATCTTTTTCATTTTCTTTAAAAAGATACAGATACAGATTCTTTTTTATATTCATGTTTAAAACATTTACACATCATATCACACAATCTAACTTTATTTTCTTCGTGAAATCTTGTATTATTTTCTTTATTTTTTCCTGCTATATTTTAAATATATTGATAACCAAAATTAGTTGGAAATTTTACAGATCACAAAGATAGATAGATTAAAAATAACAACACCAAAACTAAATAAGTAAAGGTTATATTTTATATGTAATATTTTTTAATTTGTAGAATGTTTAACATTTATAGTAGTGAAGATGAAATTATGGAGATAGGTTCTCCTGAATCAAATCCGAATCTTAAAATTCTAGATGGAAAATTTTATAAAGTAATTCATGTGAAAAAGGACAAGGTACAAGCCGAATGTCAAAATTGCACAAGTAAAAAAGTTATTAAAGGTTGAACAAACTCCTCTACAAACTTTGTTAAATTAATTAAAGTATATTATACATTTTTATTTTATAATTATTAACATAATAATACCTATACTTAAGTCCCTCTTAGATAATTGTTATTAAAAATTTTTATAGAAGATGGTTGATTATCAAATTAAAATCATTTTGGACATATAATTTTTAGAGGTGTACCGATACCACTTTTTGGAGGTCGATACGATCCTATATTCAATTGATATCAACCGTACCGATCCGACATCATATCTAATTTTGTATTCTGTAAAGATACCAATGGTTTTAATTTTTAATATACTTTTTATTAGTATAACATCTATAATTTAATTATACCATAACTTATGTCATTTAAATATATAATAATGACAGTTATAGTTTACATTCAATTCAATTGCAATTCTAAAAGTATATAAAATATTTTTATTGTTAAATCACTTTTATATAACAAGTAATAACATTAATCTTGTTGATTAGTCTTATATTTTAAATTTGAATATTTATTTATTTTTAAAATATATTAACGTTATATCATTTGAATATCTTAAATTATTTAAATTGATTGTTTAATATATTCAATTTACTTTGTTTGATATTTTTTGTACAAATAGATTGTGATAGAAAAAAGAAGTTAGTTAATAAAATTTAAATTTATATTACTAAAACAAATTTGCTTAACCTTACTTAAAATGGTGCCCCGATTACGGTGGTACGTTTCTTCGTTTTTTTAAAAAAAAATATATAATAAAAGTTTAAAAATAAAATTATATCCTTACCTTGAAAATAAAATAATCAAAGAATTTATCCGTTTTTTTTGGTCGATTTCTTTTGTAAAAATAAAAAGTAAAGGAATTACTTATCAAATTCGTCGTTCGATATTGGAGATGATAAAAGGACATATAAAATTTTTTTGACTTTTCTTTTCGATAGTTGAAAATTTTATCCAAATTTACAAAATTATAAATGGTAAAAAAAAAGAAAAGAAAATAAAATATATATATATATAAATAAAAAGAGTAATATGATAAAAAATAGTTTTTTCATCGGAATCTTTGCATTTCTACGTAATGATGTTTTGCTTATAATATACCTCTGTGCATAATTATCGATAAAATGTTGAAGGAAATTGGAGGTTGTAATGAATTCTCTTATGTCCGAAATAATAGAATGAATGAAATTTTCTTTTATTTTAAGTCCTTACGAAAAAAGATTGATACCTATATGTCTCTAAATGGGAAGCCCTATGTTTTTGATGAAAATAATTTCATTTTTATATCTTGTGCAATTACGGAATATTAAAATTTAAATATTAAAACTTAAATATCTTTACGCTTTGCATATTTAATGTACTACATTTATTGGACATAGAAAATTTTTTATTAGCTATTGTCCCTATATTACGTTATTTTGTAATTTTTCTCGCAATTATAAAAAAAAAAGTAAAAATTTTTTTTTACGCGCTTAGCAGATCACAGTTTATAGGTTATTAATAAAATTTTCTAACGATATTAAAGTAATATGAAATTCTTTGTGACGAATCAAGTTTAGATATTTATAGATAATTCAAATTAAAACGTAGTGGACTAAATCCTCTTTACGAATTAGAATTAAGTTTTTCACAGACAAATTATATTAAACTTAGTGGACTAAATCCTCTTTACGAATTTGAATTAGAATTTTTATAGATAAACTATTGAAACTTAGTAGACCACATTCTCTTGATTAAAATTAAATTTTTTTTAGACAACTTAAATTTGATTTTAATGGACTACAATGTTTTGCTTTTACGATTTTAAAAATTGAAAGTTTACTTTATTTAAATAAAATTTTATCATGGACGAAAAATAGAGACATATAGGTATCAATCATTTTTCGTAAGGACTTAAAATAAAAGAAAATTCCATTCATTCTATTATTTCGGACATTATAGAATTCATTACATCCTCCCATTTCCTTCAACATTTTATCGATAATTATGCACAGAGGTATATTATAAGCAAAACATCATTACGTAGAAATGCAAAGATTCCGATGAAAAAACTATTTTTTATCATATTACTCTTTTTATTTATATATATATATATATTTTATTTATTTTTTTTTACCATTTATAATTTTGTAAATTTGGATAAAATTTTGAACTATCGAAAAGAAAAGTCAAAAAAATTTTATATGTCCTTTTATCATCTCCAATATCGAACGACGAATTTGATAAGTAATTCCTTTACTTTTTATTTTTACAAAAGAAATCGACAAAAAAAACGGATAAATTCTTTGATTATTTTATTTTCAAGGTAAGGATATAATTTTAATTTTTAAACTTTTATTATATATTTTTTTTAAAAAAAACGAAGAAACGTCGTACGAGTACAAATATATTTATTTTCAAAATTTGATTATAATAAAAAATATATACAATAATAAAAAATGAATACTTTCAATCTAAAGATATTAAGATTATATTTACCCATATATCGATATTTTGTTATGATAAATTATTCCTGACCCCCCAAGACCTAGACCCGCCCTCTATCAGTGATTATTATTAATACAATAAAAAAATATTTAATTATCAACTTGTTTATTAAATCGTTACACGACACGACCCCGGGTCTGGACCTAGGGTCGGCCTGAGCACATAAAAGGATCGTAAATTTTACAAGCAAATTAAGAACACTAGACTCAAGTTCAGAGAACTATTTGTCCTCTAGTCGACAACTATATATTTTGTATTCACAACTCAAGTTGGAGGTCTAAATTAAAAAGTAAATAACAACATCTAATTTGAAATATTCGTCCTCTAGTCGACGACTCAAGTTTATAGAAATATTCGTCCTCTAGTTGACTCAACTAACTATATAATTATATTCACGAGTCACGACTCAAGTTGGAAGTCGAAAGTAGTAAAATACAATAACTATCTTAATTAATAATAATAGATCTGAAATATTCGTCCTCTAGTCGACGACTCATGTTCATAAAATATTCGTCCTCTAGTTGACGACTTAAGTTTATAAAATATTCGTCCTCTAGTCGACGACTCCATAGAAATATTCGTCCTCTAGTCGAATCAAATATATAATTATATTTACGAGTCACGACTCAAGTTGGAAGTCGAAAGTAGTAAAATACAAAAACTATCAAAATTAATATTAGATCTGAAATATTCGTCCTCTAGTCGACGACTCAAGTTCATAAAATATTTGTCCTCTAGTTGATGACTTGAGTTGTAGACATTATTAAACTTGAAGTAAGCTATTCAAATTAATTATTTTTTAAAATATTTTATTATTATTCTATATCTAAAAGAACTAAAAATATATCAGTATGTTAATTAAAAAATATATAATATAACAAATGTTTACAATCACGTTTAGTGAATAATAAGTAAATTAAAAATAACCAAAGTCGACTATGGTAATTGAAATAGTTAAATTATATCAAACATATCAATTAATAATATAAGATTAACTATTTAAATTTAAGATTAATTATTTAAATTTATTTAAATATATGATCAATCAACAAAACTCTTCCTTTATATTTATAAAAAAAAATTGGTCTGGGGCGCGGCCATCTTCATTCTCAAAATCGATAAAAATGTTTAGAAAAGTGTATAATATTTTCCCGAAAGGGGGCGTTTTTGTATAAAATTATATAATAATCAGTTTTTAATGGTTTTTTTTGGACTATTTGATATAATTTAAAGGATTATTATCTTGTAAGTGAAAATAACAATAAATGGGGCTTTCATTCAATTATACAAATTGTCTATCGATAAAAGAAATTCAATTTATTACTTTATTATAAAAATTTTTGCCCATATAACATATATTTAATGAATATTAATAAAATATATTCAACCAAGTTTATAGTTCTTGAATATATGAATCAGAATCTTGTTCATTTCAT